AATACAGTTGTCCCTTGATAATCCGACAGGTATGGGACCAAAGGTGTGTCAGATTACCAAAAGTGTCCGGATTACCGAAAATAATTACATATTTCGCATTGTTTTGCTAGCAGTAACTTACAATATTCTCTACTCCAACTGTTCGAACAGAACTGCTCACATAAAAAACATGAAATGTGTGTCATCGTGTAAAAATTGGATGGGGAGATTCACATCGCGACATGCTTCTGTGCAAGCAGACACGTAACGGGGACGGGTACCTTGATGGGAGGTGCGTCGGACTACTGAGCATGTCAGATTAAAAAACGTCGGACTATAGAGGGACAACTGTAGTGTTTTCAATTATAGTAATGACTGAATTTGATTGTGTATCTGATCTTCATTCTTCACGAATAAAGATTATATTCCCAGATATATAAATTAAACTATGCAATATTACACAGAGATATTCAAAAGAACTAGAAAATAACACTTCATTAATCATAACATAAAACATACAATGTTAACAGTTAGAATGTACACAAATTAAAACTACACAGCATACACACACAGCAAATAAAATTATTAGCCGGAAAACTGTGTGTATGGTGTACGGTTTTAATTTTCGTTACAGAAAACTTATACCATTTGTAGCAATGGAGAATCTATACTACACATATGTAAAAGTGTATAATCATAAAGCAGCAATGGCATTTATGACAGTATAAACTTGGGATGGCCAAATCCGGTCATGATAGGAGCCATACATTGCCTATCAGAAATACACAAAAGCTGCATTCTCTATTGAAATGCCTATTAGAGAGCAGCATCATCTATTTATATTATATATACTTGTATAGTTAAAATACCATAGTTATCGCTGATCTATAGTAAATATCATTATTACCTTCCTAATACTTTATGAATGAATAGGTAAATAATCATTTCAATCCATCTTTATAAATGAACTCTAAGCTTTCAGTTGCCTGTTCAAGGTTAAGTTGCAAGTTACACTTATAATCCTCATTTATATTACACTACTTAATAGTTAGAAAACTTAACAGAATATATGGAAGCTCAGTAGAATTGTAATTCTTTCTTGTTATTTCATGTGAAGAGAGCCTCTGAACAAAGCCAAAGGCATTTGTGGTTGAATACTCAATGTGCTGGAAGTTGTGTGGTATGTGTAAATTAGTTAAGTGGTATTTACATTGGTAAAGAAAAAAACCAGAGACCAGCTACGAAAGATTAGAATGTCTCTACCTCTAAGCCAACAATTCTCTACTTTTATGTATATGTATATATATATATATAATACCTTTTATCTATATCTTCTGTATGTAGCACACTCACATCGAGACACACTCCCTACAATAAGAGCTTTCTAAGTAATGATATACATTTTATATAATATAAATAAATAATGAATATACCTGATGAACATGATTCTTACTAATTTGTTGTAATATGGGTTTTTGAACTTCTTTGACAGGTATTTTGAGATCACGTGCAAGTTCGATAATTTTCTTTCTGATGGTAGCATCGGAATCTCTAAATCTATCTTGAACGTATAACTGGTGGATGGCGCGTCTTCCGCACTGAAGAGCAAGTTGTACCGGATGTAAACCGTATATTATTTCTCCTTTGATATCGACCTTTGAAATTTTTTTCGTAGTTAAACTTTTTGGTCTGGAAAAACAAAGAAAATTTAAATATTTAAACTATGTTATGCTAAATTATGATTAACGATCCAGATTCTGCAAGATAGAAAAAGACTACTGCTGGTATATGACAAATAAGTAACTGTCTTCAACTTTAAAGCATTGTATACCCATGCTTCTGCTGTCTTCAAGACTGTCTTTTAGCATGTTAGCCTCTCTCCTACCATTTATAAACAAGTTATGGAATAGGCAAACTGGAAACATATTCTTCATTCTTCCAGTTTGATGAAACCATGTACTTTTAAGACAGAGATGTGCCTGTGGATAGCTCCGTAATCAGGACACTTTGTAAGATGGTCTTCAGATCTTTGGTGAAGTCTATCCTGCCAAAATACATCACATACGTTTGCATTTATGCCAGATACATAGATGATGTGCTTATTGTATAGAACAAAAAACCTGACATAAGGGAATTCTTGGTTAATAGAGAGGTTGCGGCCGAAGTTTTCATCTCTCAAACGTGAACGCCGAACGTCAAGCGCCGCTATCTTGTAAGCGGCGCTCGACGTTCAACGTTCGAGAGATGAAAGCTTCGGCCGCAACCTCTCTAATGTCAACACTAACCCTCAGGAATTAAAACTCAACAACTGTTGGGTGATAATTTGTACTACTGTACACCTAAAACAAACCCAATACATGTTAATAATTGAATGATACAGCAGAATTCCTTATCGGGCTATTGCAACCAAATAAAGAATCCTGCTATATCGTTCAATAATTTGAACTGCTAATATCTATTTATTATTATTATTGAACTCAGATCAATGCCCCTAAGTTATTATCCAGCTTGATCTGTCAGGAGTCTTGTCATGTACATCCTGCTAAATGCATTTGTGCTATGGTTTTCTTTGTTAGTGTTAGAGTGTACTCATGACGGATGCTATTGGTCAGTTTATTGACTTTCACTGCAATTATTAAGGACAATTTTTCCGGTTGTGATTCATTTCCTACCTCTGTCTTACTTTTTTTATCATACAGATTATCTTTTTCATTTGCCACACTGCAATGCATGGAAGGCCCTGCAAGGCTGTGTGGAAAAACCATCATCAACCTATTTTATAAAGATTCCATATCTCTGTAAAATTTCATTAATTTCAAAGAACCATCTGGTGTCTTTTCTTGAGAAAGTTCATATCATATGGTCTGTATATTCTTAAGTGATGAATCAGATATTTCTTCCTTTTGGGCAGAGAAACTGTAGCACTGCTCAATAATTTGGTCTAACTGTAAAAGTAACTCATTTCCTTCTGATGATGAATTGGCCATAAATGCCAATTCATCATCAGAAGGAAATGAGCTTAATGTCTTAACTGCCTTTACATTGGCAGTTAAGTCTTAAATGTCTTAACTGCCCTTACATTGGCAGTTAAGACATCTCTGTCTTAACTGCCAATGTAAGGGCATTAACATTGCCATACCTGATAATGCAATTTATCATATCTTCCATTTAAAATTCTTATATTCATACAATTACTGTATATAAAAATATCAATGTTGATTCTTTCCTGATTGGATGAATCTGAGAATGCCATTCTGGTTCATTTCAGTCGCTCGTAATAAAATACATACATCATCATCAGCATATACTGTATATTGGTATTAGACTCGTTAAATGAAGTGTTTATGTGATATCAAATTGTTTAAAAATGCCGACAAAAGGGAAAAGCATCCTGTCCACTGACGGAGCATACAAAATGTTGCCAGTTGGCAAGTACGCTTGTTTATTTATAATCTGCAGACACAAGCTAATAAACTTAGAATATATTTTCCATTTTGTAGCCTTGATATACCCTCTTTTTATAAATGAATTACTGATTACTGCAGGTTTTTATTAATATTGGAAATACAGCATTTCTCATTGCGACAGAATCAAACTGCAGTTCTGGATGCATAGATCTTAGGAAAGAACAGATTGGTGGTAATTTCATTGCCGATGTTCTTTCAGCCATGCATTGATGTTCTAACATTCATTCAGAATTGTAGTTTTTCAATTTTAAAATTATGATTAATGTATTTTTTTGTTTAAATATAGTGATTCTGTAAATATTCCTATATTTTTGGTGAAATACAAGCTTGAATTTAGTACACCTAAACTTGAATTAGAGTATACTTGGACTTTATAGTACTTAAAATGCTAATTTACACATATATTTGAAAATCTGGATGGAGATCTGTTTCCAATTAGTCTAGACTTTTGGCACTTCATTGTGTCAAACTTTGTCTTGGTTAGGCAAAAGATATACGTCTCATGAAAGATTACAGATATATTTCACCATGCATCAAACGGTACATTGGTAAACTTCAAAGTACTAAAATGTTTTCTGATATTTACTGATGAGTTCATTGGTATAGTAACTGATGCACATTATATTTATCATGGTCTGACAAAACAATACAGCCTCCAGTTATATTAATAACCGTGGAGGCTGTATTGTTTTGTCACTATTAACACTATATTTACTATTCATCTGTATTAATCTTTAGTTACCTCGCGTTTTTTTATGCAGCGCTCGAGAAGCGCTTTACAGCGAACACACTGAAACTGATTTCTAATTGGCCAATACTGCTCGTGACGTCATTTCGCTACACTCTCGCTGCATAAAAAAACGAGGGGTTATTTTGACAATTAAGTCTGCAAATGCAAATGCCAAAATAGCATTATTTGCTTCTGGCATCTTGCTAGATTGCTGGATATTCCAATAAAAGCTTATTAAACTATTCACCAGTTTATAGGTTGTGGCCGAGACTGATGTATATTGAAACATACCCTAAGTTATCATTGTTTGATGCTAAGTATCAGGTTAATACAGAATATATCAGTCTAATTTTGCAATTTTTGGAAAAATGAGAACGAAGTACATGATTTTAGACTTCCTGTTACTGTTGACACAATCTACAACATTAATAATGTCTGTAGCATCTTATCAACTTCATAATTACCTATTTATATATTTTTCATGTTCAAGCAAATCTTCACTGATATAAGAAGGTCTATTCCTAACAGTTTTTAACTTTTCATCATCAATATTTTCTTTATTAGTCTCATATGAATATTTTGCATTGATAAAACATTGATTTTTAGTCTTTAAAGTATTTCTCATATTCTTAACTACAAATACGGATCTCATCTGATTACTAAACATTTTTAAGACTCAATATTCTAAAAACAATTCCACTTTTACGCATAAACAATCAACATATCTCCCACAACTTCTGTGTACAAAGCACGTGTGACACTGAATCACATGGACTATCGGCTTAATCGTGTTGCCAGATAAACAAAACTAAATTTTTGTTTTTAGTAAAACGTTTTACATTTTAGCTATAACTTAAGTTAAATTAATTATGTTAGAGTTTAATTTAATATTTATTTAAAACAATTTTATTAATATAATTCAAAATGTTTTGCATTAAAAAAAATTAATATATACTATTTTAATGCAGGCATCGCACATTCATGGCTAACAATTCAATTTTCTTTTATTTCACGAAGGCCGATCCTTTAATGAAATTGTCCGACACGAATAAAAAGCTGAGAAAATATCTGATAAATTATGGCAGTCAGATCGGATTAGAATCTTCGAAGTAGTAGGCTGACAATTTACTACCCGAACATCAGGATAGAGTCGCCATAATGCTATCCGCGCGATATGGCAACCCGTTTGAGATACTTGTAAACTCCATCGTATAATATGGCAACCTCATGTGGTAAAAATTGAAGGATACCTAGCTTTAGGCAGGCAGCAGCAATTCTAGAAAACAAATGAATAATTCTAATTAAACTAATTTTATTGAATTATCAATTATTAACATTACTTAATATGCGTTGAATTAATTTCACTTTGTTCGATTTGTATATTTCAAATAAATTTTATGTTAATTAATAAACCCGGCTTTCCCATTACGGGCCTGGACGAACACATAATTACCACGATTGGAAATAAGGCCCAAAGGGCAGAAAAGGTAAAATGCTGCAATATAATTAAATGTAACTATTGGTCTAATGTGGATAGTTTTGTAGCCATCAGACAGTACAGGGATCAATGGAATAGACAGATAGAAGATAGACATTATTTATTTCTTACAGTGTACAGTAGTACATACCCATTTCCGCTTAGCATATCTAGGCGGACAATGGAACACTACGAATGAGCTACAGATCATCAAAGATGTGGGCGTGTAAGGATAGATGACGTATGCATGACACTTGCATACATCTATCGCCTGTAGTTCTTATTTAGCTTTCTTAAAAACAAACCGAAATGTTTTCGGATAGAAACGGACAAATCCGGACATGTCGGGAAAAATTCATCCCGAAAAATCAGGACATATGGCAGTCTACATTCAAACATTTTCCTGCATCTACCTAATGAAGTTATATAATTCATACACATAACAAATTCGTACGTTCATCCAATAACTTTATTATAACCAAATTTTCGCAGTTTTTACACATGTGCGTGTGAAAACACGAACGTTTTTTAAATACAACTTTTATTGAGAGAAATGAGATTCTCATCCCCCGAAACAACAATTCAGAAAGGTTTATCTTCACTAGAATCACACACATTCTAATTCGGTCAAGCGGCTAAGGTGTTAGCCCGCTCTGGGGCATCCGGAATCGAATCCGGACGGATCGAAAAAACCCCAGGAATTTTCGGATGGTCCGTGTCTCTCACTAACTATGGGCCTGGCAGAATCCATAATAAATTTGTTTAAAAAATAACCTTCTTAGTACCCACAGAGCGGAAAGAGTTTGAAAAAAACTCTGATAACACGAATGCTCTTCAAGATGGCAACGGTAAAGCAAACATCATATACAAAAAAATAAATCTTACTCGAAACGAAGATATTAATTGTCAAATTTAAATTTTTTAATAACGAAAAAATTATACTAATTATTAATAAATTATCATTATTAATAATGTGTAAAGATTATAAATTATAATAATTATTTATTATAATTATTTTAATCAAATATGTGTGGTGTCGCATTACGACGTAAACAACATAATATAGGGCATGGTACGATTTTGCTGTTCGCGCAATTTTTTATTTGTCAATTTCAAGGTCTTAAATACTTTCAATTTCGAAGCCGTTTAATTAAATAATTAGTAAAAATGACGACTCCGACGTGGGACACTTTCTGCTGCACGTTCTCGGAGCAACACAAGAGTGTCGACGAGCTACTGAACTTTAGATACAAGCCATTTAGCATCGTTTCTCTTATTTCTGCCAGTTTAGGGGTGTTTGGTGCCATTTACCAGATCGTTCCCATACACGAGACGGTACAAAGGAGGTCGGCCCTGTCTGGTGAAAGACAAAGAAAAATCATTAAACTCTTAGCCATAGCAGATTTATTTGCCTGTCTTGGTAAGAAACGTGACTTTATTTGGCTAGAAATAAATGCATATGTATGTATTCTATCTAACCGAATGATGAAATTGTTAATAAACGACAGGCGCTCCGGGTGTAAGTTGTGGTATGTAAACTGTCCGTTCGGTGACGTTCGACAGGAAAAAATTGTTTTGACCTTGAGTCAGATCAAAGCTGTGTATGACTCTGATACAAAAATCTGATGATTGTGTACTGCTTAATGATTGAATTGCTTCTTTTTTTTTTTTACTAGTTAAATGGATTTTTTTCAGTTAACGGGATGCCAGAAGACTACTGCAAAAGACTGTCACTTTTAATAGTTTGGCTCGTGCGACCGTGTCGGCCTCGAGTAGCCCGCTTGACTATTCGTGGAGTACTTGATGTTATATAGTTTTAGGGGAGTGTGGGAGCTTGCCTCACCTGGGTGCTGAAGTGTGAGTGATAGTGAACAATGAGAAGAATGTCTATGTGTGAAGTATAGACTGATATGTGTAAAAACTGATCTTTGGAGATGAATATTTTGCCAAGGATCAACAATATTGAGAGTGGTGTGAAACCCCTCATTTGCAGCTTGAATCTTACCTGTTGTTGTATATATTGGCTGGCATTCCGTTAACTGAAAAGTACCATTAAATGCACGTATGAAGTATCGGTACGTAACTTATATGCATTTTTCATATAGATGCTTCGTATACGTGCATTTTTCATATACATTTCATATGCTAAATGCATTTCATGTATATAAACAATTCTACAAATGCAATTGTTTGATTAAAGCCAGATCGTCTGCTGAATTATTGGGCTATAATATTCACAAATTACTTAGTATCTAATTATTAACTTAGCCTTATTATAGCCTGATAATTTGGCAGATTGTCTTCATTTCATATAAATTTGATATATATGAAATGCTTAAAAGTAGCTATACTTATGATAAGTTAAAAGGCATTTTATTAAATGGTAGTATGGTTTGTCTTGGTGAAGACTGTGGCTGAAATTGAATGTGTTAATCAATTGCTATTCATTTTACTTTTAACATGTAAATTCTTATTGGTTAACTTCTAACTAATGCGCGATTCGTGTTTATGAATACGGGCATGACAGATCCGGGTTTAAATCTATTAGATTTGTAAAATTCTCTTCCATTTATATTGAGTCTCTCCTTTTCCATTTTCTACAGCTTTGTGCACTAGCAAAATCTGTAATAAGTTGCAAAAAGGTCTTTGTGTTATCACTTCAGTAGCATAGTTAGGTTTTTAAGGCCATACAGACTTCAGTATTATTATTAAATTAATTATAATTTTATTAGGTGACATTTAATTAGCTTAGTTTCTTCTATGTGTGCTATAGCTAGTCTTGCGTAGCCAAGTTTGATAGAATTCCTTCTATAATTTTCAATTGCTAAACGATGCATAAAGTAATGCTTCAGTAAATCTCTAAATTATCTAGACTTGTGTAGCACCAAAAATAGATTTACAAGTACACATCCAGTAAAGTACAAGTAAACATTGTATCTTACTAGAAACACAAAGGTTTTGAAAGGGTCAGTTAAAGGATTCCAGTAATCAAGTAGTGTAAAGTTTAAAAATAGATTTATTAAACTGAAAAAAAGTAATGTTTTCAGTTATATTTTTGATCTGTTTCCATTACTATTCGTAAATGCTTGAATTTGGGAACGTCAACCCGACAAAGGTCATTAAATATGACCGAAAATGTTAGTTCTTTTGTTTAATTAATAAACCTTTTTTGCTTCTGTACGAGGCTGTAATATTTTTAGAGATTTTTATACTATTTCATATATTAATAATTATTTTTTGTTTGAGAAATTGAAGTGATTTTTTTGCCAATTTATTCTTTCAAAATATTCTTAATTTGTTGTTGTTGTTGTAATTAGGACATAATAAGAATATTGATTTTTAAATAATCTTTGACATTAGCTATTCCATTATATTATAAAAAAACAAAATTACCTTTCTGCATGTCGTATAGAAGTCGTAAAAATCTGTGCTTCTTGATTAAGTGTCTTTTTGACTCCTTGTTGTACCTGCTCAATTTTTTAATCAACGTCGTAATGGATGGTCTCAGAACGTTTGTTTAGGGAAGTGCATGTGCGGTCGACACTTGTATCGTTGTGTGTTGCTTATGTCACCTTCAGATTCAATTGTTTTTTGTCTCTGATCTAACATGAAGATGGTCCTCTTGGTCTCATGTTTACCTCCTCTGTTTATTTCCTGTGATCAATCGCTTCTATAAGCCAAACTCATGGATCTATTCAGTTTCCTTGTTTTTGTCATAGGTGGCATAGTTAACAATCCTAACCTAACCTAACCATTCACAAAGATTTCCGAACTTCGTATCCAATCCTTAAATCTTGCTCTCTAAAATAATAGACTAATGCTTTTAATCCTCACTCATCCTGTCAATTTGTTGGCCATTGAAGAAAACTGTGCCCCAGTTCATTTATTAATTTGTTTATGGGTATTCCGAGTCTTAGCTTGGGTAATTTATACTTACTGCTGTTTTTTGACAGTGCTGTGATTGCATTTAATGTCAATCTGACACTCCTTTCCATCGCTTAAACTGTAAGTAAAAGTCATTAATTGTGAAATTACTATAAAGAAATAATTGAACATAATGATTTATACTTAAATTTTGTTTAAAATTCTGGTAAGGAGTTAATTATTTTTATATTTTAGTATTATATTAAGTAAGAAATTCCTTAATTTTATGTGAAATAAACCTGCTTATATGGAGTAGTTAAAATGTATGTAAATGTTTTACAGGAATTATAGTCAGATCTGTAATGTGGATCATCTTTTATGAAAATCGAACCGAATCTCAGAGAATGAACGATCATAGATTAGCTTGTGCGCTAATTTCTGTAAGTAACGTTCTTAGTTTTTAAATGTTCCCACTGTCATCTATTTGTTTTTAATACATAATTTGTTTTTAATTGCGATTCTTTTAGTTTTGGATAATGTACTTTTATACTTCTACTTACATGTGGACTGTTTGTTATGCTATCGACGTGTATGTTACACTTAAAGAAAATGCTTGGTAAGTAAGTTACAATTTGTTGAATATATATTTACGTGATATTAGTTATATGAAACAAAAAAGGTAAAGATACTGTTTTCTTGCTATAACTTTAGAGGGTATCAGATGTATGTTATGCCAAATATGCAGGATTGTAGAGCCAAATTATACCAAATATGGTATAAAAGTTCCTAAATGCAGTGTTTCGATAACCCATATTATACGTTGAAGGCTCTGTGAATGAGATGGAAAGTTTTGAAGAACTGGTTCGTTTGGTAACCATGACGCAAGTGAAATGTCAGTTTTAACAATGAGTGCAAGTGCCTACTGCTTTCGTAACGTCGAGTTAAGCAGGGGCAGTATTCTGGTCACCGTCTCTCGTCTCTCACAAGCCAGTCACTGATTGGCTAATCCAAATGATTAGCCAATCAGTGACTGGCTTGTGAGAGACGAGAGACNTAATTGGCTGTGACAGTATCAGGACCATAAACACCATTCACAATTTCAGCTGCCTGGCTTGCATTTTCGCCTTTATCGAAGCAAAATTGTAAAACATACCTAATTTTCTCTTTGTTAACTTCCATCTTTTACACCCTATAACTCACATCTGAATTGACCAATCAAAAAACTGTAAAAGAATTTTTTTTAGTACAGAATGTTACTTTTCCAATAAGCACAAGTCTGAACTTGTGTCATCAATTTTTTATGAGATATGTATCACTACAGCCATCTAGTGAAAAAATAATGGATTTCTTTTTCCCCAACCTAAATATATAAATGAGGTAGGATCCAATAATTTGGATACTTGGCATATAGTTTATTGCCTCGAGTAGTTTAAAATACAGACACATAATTACTTCAAAATAATCTTCTGGACAACAATACTCCTATAACTTCTGGAAGCATGGCTATTTTGAAGGTGGTTCAAGGCATAAAAACTACTGTATATATCAAGTTTCCAAAGTTTTGGATCCTACCTCATACAACATCCGAGTTTACCCTTTATATATGGTGCTAGTAGCTACATCGACAGTGGTACGGGGATTAATGTAAATAAATATATAAATAACAACAACACAAAGCCCAAATAGTATATATACTAAATTGCCAAATGATCGCCTAAATATCGGGCTATTATATGGCTACTTAAATGATTAGAATAAAGCAATTTGTCATAATTGTTAATGTAAATTTGCTCGTTCTGAGTTAGGCTCCCTCCTAATGTGGGTTCTAGTTACACTACCAAAAGATATAGCTGTTGAATTTTATGTCTGTATAAAATTTTTCATATTTTAAAATAATTATTTTTCTTCTTTTATAAAGCACGTCAAATCATACAAGGTCGCTTGGGTCGTTACACCGACCAGGAGCGTTCGCTCGTTAATAAATTGAAGATGAAATTTTCTCACATTGTCATTGTGTTTTATGTGTGGTGAGTTGTAAATTGCACTACATCTCCAACATTTATATTATAAGCATTTCATAAAATTTTAATATAGAGTAATTTGTCGTCATAAATACTTTCAGTTGGTTGCCTAATATAATCAGTAACGTCATTCTGTGGTCTGAATGGAAGAGGCTTCACGAATGGCATGTAGATCTCCGAGGTTTTATAATCGGCCTGTGGTACTTCATGGTATGTATAAGTCTAACAAATTTTATGCTTTATGAATGGTTTATATTCAAGTTAAATGATATATAGAGAAGAGGAAAATAAGAATTCTTGTACTTTAATTCAAAGAAAGATGGATTCCGAAGCTAAGTTAAAGCATTACGTAGAGAAATTAACTCTATGTAATGCTCTATGAGCTTTCATCTCATTGAAATTGTTGTTATGCAATGGATGATCTTATCATAAATCAGTTTGTAAATAAAAGTTAAACTGACTTTCCTTCAACGTTATAAACAAGAAAATTGAGTAAGGAAATGAAATGAATTGCCACAAAACACAATTTACATGCAAACGGACAATAAAAATGACAATTGCAATTTAGCCTTTTGTTCTAAAAGAAACTATTATATATTTATGAAGATATTTAGCATTATTAATTGAAGATCTTGAAACCAATACTTCAGATGTTGATAATTAATTGCGAAGATAATTAAGAACATTGCAGATGTTATTGCAAAACCAATATTCTTTAATAAATATGTATTCTTGGAGTAATTATCTCACGTTATCAGAGACGATAATCGATACCAATTCTATACCAGTATATTGGTTGCATCCTTTGCATCATTTTGCCTTGGCAAGTACATGGCAATTAACATAATGTACCATAAAACTAACCCACAGTAGACCAAGCATCCTCTATGTGATTTGCTACAGATGGCCATGTGATGTATGCATCAGTTTTGGAGAGTGCTGACTTAGTAGGATGTGCTGTTCCGTGAGAGACTGGATGCATTTTTGGCGATAGAAGAGAAATGAGTGAGCGATGTTGCCAGGTATGGCAATATTTCAAGCCAATTGACAGTTTGGCAATGATTTTTCTATACTATTATAAATTTATTTGAGTTGTATTTAGATTTTTTCTTAAAAACAGGGTTAGAGTTAGGACTAGGCAAGGTAGACAACTACAGTTGGTTAGGGTCTGGATCTAAAAGCACTATGTAAATTGATTTGTAAACTTTTATTTCTTTATATTTGAATTTAAATGATTAGTGGACAAAGTGAATATTCTCTAAACTGATGAGTTTTCAGGCTTTTATTTAATAACAGCACCTTTGACAGCATAGACCTCTATATTTTAGAAGATAAAGTGTTTTTGTACAGACTTTGTAGACCATCTCTGCCAATAACAGTTTGAAATTCTAAACTCTTTCCATCATACTTTATGCAAAAGGAGAATATTTAAGTTTATGCTTTTTATTATTAAATGTAATTAACAAATTTATGTGTTATTACAGGCGATCGTGAATCCTCTTCAAGCTGTACTTAATTCGGTGGTGTACAGAGGATGGGCTAATTGTTCCAATTTGAAGACGTTTTTCGCCAACATGTTCCGAAATAGGATTACGCTGGGAATAATACCGGACGATTCTGTAGAAAATGAAAGGAGCGACGAGGTAAACGGAAGAGAACAACTTATAAACAGAGCCTAAGAATAATCAAGCGAAGAGAAGATCTGCAACAATAAATTACATATAAGATCTGTGTTTTCGTCAAAGAAAAGCTATTTTTGTATGTGATATTGGTCTTTTATCTTTCTGCATTTTAAATGCTGTTTGTAATAGCTTTTTTTAAAATTTATAAATCAATTAGATGTCTGTTTTATAGAAACAAACATTACAAAGGCCAGTTATTGTTAAATTACAGTCTTCCATTAGTTTTTATGATATTTAGCATATGATGTGTTTGTTTACTTTATACTATATAATAGAATGTAGTACATAAGGAAAAGAATTTGTGTATGTGCAAATGTTCCGCTTTGTATTGTGCCATTCAAGAGATTTGCTTATTCTACATCAAGTGGCTGTAGAGATTGCCCTTTATGCAATTCTTATTTACAGAATTGACTATTTATCATGAGTAAATGTATCTATCCTGTATGCTTGGTGTAAAGTTTTAAACAGAGCAGTGTTGTGAGAACATGCAAAATAAAACTCTCTAAATCAAGAATTTTTACCTTTAATATGGTGTTTTGAAGTGGACATTCTAGTAATGGAATGTTAATTGAAGAAATCTTTCGGTAAAGGTGAAAAATTCTTGCATTATCGCGAGTTAAAATTTATTTCGCGCACTCTCTTAATGCTGCTCCATTTAAAGTTTTGTTTCTCAGAAGATAAATAGTTGAAAGATACAAATTGTGAACATTTATCTCCATTTATTAACCATCTTTAATCCTTTATTAAAATTAATTGACCTTCTATAAGTGTGCAAACACTTCCTTCATAAACAAACATCTAATTGGTTATAATAGTTTACTTTTGAAGTATTTTCTAGTTATATATACACAGATATGATTTACCAAAACATATTTTATTGTCAAGGAAAGTATTAAATAATTGTTCGAAATGAAATCTTTATACATGAAAAACATAAATCAAACAATAAACTGTACAAAGGACAGTACTGTACATACATAAAAACTTTCCTAGGGAGAGCCTATGTAAACATCAAACAATTTGTAAATATTTATTAGTAAATGCAAAAGTATACAAATTTCTTAGACAATAAACTGTGATTAGATTTTATATATTAGTTTTCTGTAGTAAATTTGATAAGCAAACAGTTCAAATTCTCTTACCGTCACATCACAGATGTTACCAGATTATTTTATAAAACACACACAGTATCGTCTAACGATCAATTTGTATTATCCGTTATGGTACGGTGCACATTTCGAGTAGTGCTTTTCCTCGTCTAAGGTTAGAGCGTGAAACGTTTCCTCGCTAATGTGCACAGCTAGTGTTCTAATTTCTGTTTTCTTCACATGCAAGTAATTCAGGGGTCGAGTATCTTCAGGAGGATTTTCTGATAGTCGCCGCTCGTGTCATCTATTATGGCATCTTTCAGTTCTTTGTGGTATTTTTGTTGAAAGACTTTCTTGATATTTTCCAAATCAATCTAAATTGAAAAACAAAGTTAAAAATTCATTTTAATTAATTATCTAAATGACATTTTTCTTAAAATTTCTGATACAGGTAGATGGAAGACTCGCATTGAAACAACATTTAAAAAACAAAAAAACAATGCTCAATTAAAAGAATACAATGAACAAATAAGATATTTTAATTTTCTGCCCTGTGAGCACATTATAAAAGTTATGCCGAGTTAGAAGGCTGGGCCAGGGTACGGATGGAAGCCCGAAAGAAGTATCATATGGCCCAGCTATGTCGTCGCTGTCTACCGTGTCAGGTATCCGACCAGCTTTTGATTAAGGCATAGTCTCTAACCCTGTAGTGCCATTAGTGAAGGAGTTGCTTTATGAGGCTGCGAGCACTAAGAGGGCCTTTTAGAAAGCCCATGATGGGTTTGGCCAGCCCACAATGTGTGGCCGGGTGGTGAGGGACGGGCCTTGACATATCCAGATGGACTACCATCTGAAAAATTCCTGAGGCTTTTTTCGACCCGTCCGGATTTGATCCTGGGTCCCTAGAGTGGCAGGCTGCCACTGTGACTGATTGAGCCAGGAGCTTAGTCTACTGTATGAGAGTCAATTGCGAGATTTGACTCAATGCCCAATGGGATATATATGTTATCTCGCTAGAATTTCTCACCATAGCTTAGTTTACACTTTGAGGAATAACTTTCAGTGTGTTACGTGATTATTGGGCTATATTAATGCTACTAATTACTAATTAATCTCAAGTGATTTGGCCTGGTGGATGTTAGGCACCATCTCTTAATTAATTATAATTATTAATTTAGATAAGAAATGGTGTTTAACGTCTATCTTTAGTACGAAATTACTTAGTTTCTAATTAATAATTATAGCATAATAGCAGCCCGATTATTAACGGCATTCGTTTGGGTTAGTATCGATACACCGGGCTTTGTGATATTGTTGCGTACACTTTACGAAACAGGAAAAGATATCGAATATTTATTTTTTAAAGTCAACCCTGAGTTATTCGCCAGAAAAAGAATTCATTGGCACACATGCCAAGTGTTGCTCACTCTAGATCTATTCGGAGCAATAGTTTTTAATAATTTTCCCCATGAAAAACCATATGAAAATCTTACAAAAAAACAGCCTTCCTGGGTTAAATTCAGTGTTAAAGTTACAATTTAATTAATTTGAATTTTTCCCTATAAAAATGTTTATGAACACCATCTTGTGTGCCCTTATATTCTTCAAGAGCCCTCCAATAGTCGAGTGGATGACATCACTGAACACTTATAGTTGGTTGCGGGTTCGCGTCTCGCTGATGGACTGGCCGTGCGAAGTTTTTTAGGTTTTCTTCATGTTTGTAACACCTAAATAGGCACCATCCCTATTTAGGTGTTACAAACATGGTTTTCGGGAAGACATCTCTCCGGGGCCGATTCACCATCATTATGCACATGTTCTCCATCAGACGGCGTTAAAAATGTAGTGGTATCTCTATCGGAGAATCCTTTTCTAAAATACTCGGAAATAGATACATCCAAATAGTTTTTTTGCGTTAGAATCTTATTTAATTCTTGTATTAACGTACGGTCCAGTATTTTGAAAATCGAATTTGGGAATTGTGGGATTAGTCAGGCATGGAAGAAGGCCCTCTTAGTACCTTCATGGAGGAAAGAGTCAGAAAATGGTGGGCATTTCTTATAATGGATTTATGAAGGATTATACTACAGTAGGGTATGGGAAGAAGGCCCTCTTAGTATCCTCATGCAGGAAGAAGGCCCTCTTAGTACCCTCAGAAAATGGTGGGCATTTCTTACATTTTTACGAAGGAGTATACTACGCATTTGTTTGTGTGATAAGAACTAAGCACATGCCAGACTTGAAAAGTTATCTGCAAGTACAGTTCGATCCTCCCGTAATAGACCCTTCAAACAGGCGTTTTGAAGTTAATTATAAACATTGTAAACGTACAATTAGAATCTCTATTAAACCCGTAATATCGATCAATACACGCAACAAAACATGAAGTTCGTGATCGTTACTGTAAAGGGGGAATATTTACAATGTAAACATTGAAAAAAAATGTTGTAAATCATTATTACAAATTACGTACATATTAATTTTGTACTCACTTCTGATCTTGTAATTAGTACCCTGATTAACGTGGGGTCGTCAGTACCCGCTCCCCTCATACAACGAAAGAGTTGAATGGCAAAGAACAAAGGACGATTCACCACACAAAGAACTAAAATTTTGGAATTTAATTTTTTAAAAAAGTTATCGAAAGAGATTAATTGCAACGAAACTAAACTTACCGATCGATACGAGAGCTTCTTTCAATTCTCCACTGAATTCTGACTGAATGGCTGCAATTAAAGGATGTCCCGAAATTCGTTCGTAGGCCCGAAGGGTGGCGACCAATTGCTTGGAGTTTCGAGATCCCAGAATATTGAGAAAGATCTGTTTATCTGACCCCCAATTTCTTCCTACACCTGCCTAGAATTAAAGAAATAATCGAGAAACTTTACTGAAAAATACCGTTCATTTGAAGCTTTAGACTTGTATTGTGTGAATTACAGTCGAACCCCCCTATAACACTGTTGATTATTTCGTTTTATATGAATTCCATGTTGTACGAGTCACTTAGATTTTACAAATACGTGAGCCGTTCACAGCCCGGCACACGTATTTGTAAAATCTAAGTGACTCGTACAACATGGAATTCATATAAAACGGAAAAATTAACAGTGTTATAGGGGGTCGACTGTATATTATACATTGTTCGTTTATTACACTTTCTAGTCAATTGTCCTTTAGAGAAACAACATGCCAATTACAATTTTTCTGAATATTTAATCTTATATTTCAATTTTATATAAAGAAAAATCTAGAATATAAAACTGCAAGATTTGTTTGTTTTGAACACGAGAACGAGCCCCGTGTATCGATTTTTCTTGATGTGACAGCGTAACTAAGCTCCGTATCAAAATTGTTTGTATTGTCATCATTTTAAATTAATAAATTTGAAAACATTTCGTGACTTTCTTTGAATATTTAAGTACTATCTGGAACGATATGAATAATCATAATAAATAAAACTAACGTGACGTAGCTAAGAACAATTAAATTCTATTAAAATTCGTCAAATAAGGCCCATTTTCTTTAGCAACTACATCAAAAACTGTATCAGTTGGGCAAGACGATTCCTCTGTGTTTGGTACAATTAAAGTGACAGAACGGTTCTTACCATTTCGAGGTAAACGTTCTTCATCTCTCGGTAACTTGCCGTAAATGAACCATGTTATATGTCTTAATACAGTCGACACCCCTATAACACTGTTGATTTTTGCGTTTTATATGAATTCCATGTTGTAGGAGTCACTTAGATTTTACAAATACGTGAGTCGTTCACAGCCCGGCACACGTATTTGAAAAATCTAAGTGACTCGTACAACATGGAATTCATATAAAACGGAATAATCAACAGTGTTATAGGGGGGTCGACTTGTAATTAATTACTATAAGCCTCAAACACATTCTGTACGATACAATAATGTTTATAATAATAATCAACCAGAAGTTGCCGGAAGAAAGGCTCAGAATACGAACGTGGATAGGGCTGCAAAGAACAATAGATGTGTTATCAGAGACCATTTTGATAAGCTGAAGGATGTATTGGCTCATCTATAGACGAGAAAGGATGTAGATTGGTTCTATATAAAGAGCAAAACGTGTATGATAAAGTGATAATGACTAGAAGACACTAGAAGGAACGGGAAGAATGTAATAAATAGATTACCGGAAGAGAAAAGAAATATACTACAAATAAATAAATAAATAAATAATAGTATTTATTAACAAAGGTCAGT